AGCGGTAGATCAAAGTAAGTCATCTTATGCTTTTAACGCTTTCCACACGTTGTAACAATTTACATGACTGACTGTCAAATGTAGCTTTTAATGTATCCATACAGCAAACATCTCCACCCGCTTATTCAAACTTTGGATGAAGGTATGCCATGACCATCCCAGTAAATTCAATTTCCATGAAGCTGTACATTAATGATGGTGAGTTTAACCAACTTGTATATATAAATCTCTAAGGTTGTGGCTTCAATTTTCTCAACAATTTCTCAAATGAAATAAATCAGTAGTAATGCCTGAGTAAGGCATATATTCCGCCCTTTAAGCTAAATCCAGTGAACAAACAATTGGAATATTGTTCTTACAGAATGTGACGAATTCAACGCCTGTGGAACTTGTACCACATTTGGAGAATGTGAACAACTTCAGAATTATACTTTATGGAAAGTTGGTGATCATGGTGAAGTCAAACATAGAGACAATATGATGGCTGAAATCTATAAAAATGGACCAATCAGGTAAGAGTCAGGAATCAGGAATCCGTCAACACTGACTGCTTTTATTTCTCGGATCATATTGAACAAAAATACTGCGTTTGTAATAATAGAAGTATATATAATTGAAGTAGGAAAAATGACCCCTTGACACCATTTAGAAAATGATTTTATTCCTTAAGTCGTATGTATTACGATGATTTCTTAAACGGATAAATATATACTTCCAGTTGTGGTATAATGGCAACTGAAGGTTTAGAGAAATATCGTGGTGGCGTTTATTCTGAACATCATTTCTTTCCTATGGTATGTTTAAGCTATATTTTCTGAAGTTCATTACAATAAATATCGTTAAACGTATAGATTTTCTTAAAAGTGTTTTGTGCAGCTGGAACACTTTTCTATCATCTGGTACAACTGCTGAATACTTTTAATATTTGGTAACTGTCAATTGTATGACACTGTACTCTCATGTAAAACAGTATGAACTACATTATAGGTCAACCATATAGTATCTGTCGCTGGATGGGGAGTAGACCCAGATAAAGGCGAATATTGGATTGTCAGAAATTCCTGGGGAGAGCCATGGGTAAGTCGATGAATACATTTTGAAGCTAAATGATGTC